AACGTGGTTTTATCAACTGAGTTGATAATGTAAATTGGTCACCACTAAAAGTTTCTAAGGCTGTTCTATCCTTTTCTTCTGTTTTATAAACATATTCTTTCTGTTCATGTTTCTCTTTACTTTCTTTTTTTATCTTCCTTTTTTTTGCCGGTGCGAAAAGCCACATCGCGACGAACTGACACCAGAATAAAGGGGGTGGTGCTGCGTCGGTGGGAGAGTATAGGAGGTAATTTAGTGTTAACAACTGAGTTGAAAACGTAAATTGGCTACCGTAAAGAGTAAAAAAGCTGACGTTTCGAGCGTCAGCCCTTCGTCAGAGCGATATCGCTCTGACGAAGGGCTAATGCTCGAAACGTCAGCTTTTTTACTCTGAACTGACACCAGTTTTCCTTAGTATCCCTCGTTTTTTTCTCCCAGTCTTCGGTTTTTCTGTTCATGTATTCCATTTTTACTTCTATTTTACCAGCTCTTTTGGGGGCTCTGAGACCAAAGTTTCGCTTTGTCGGAGCTTGTTGCCAAGTGAAGGATCATTTGTTTTGAAAACTAATCCTGATGTACAGAACACAAATACCTTTCAAAGAACGGCGTGTTTTGTATGAGGAAAAAGCGAAAAACGTAATTTGTTGATGGGGCGAGAGATAAAATGTGTATGGAAAACCACGTGTTACGCACTGGAAAACAACATTGGGTTCCTTTAGGAAACCACAGCTAATATGTTGGTCTTGCGGCCTACAGCTCCCTTGATCAGATGATAGATAGTAATAGTTCTGAGTAAAGATGTATATGTTATTCGGGAGGTCCGTACTGGGAAAAACTGTGCCCTAGGACTTGAGTACCGCCCGAGGTCGTAGGCCGATGGTGGTATTGAAGGCAGAGGGCACAGTTTTCCCCAATACGGACCGACCAGGCTGGTGAATAATATTTTAAATTTTTTTCTTTAACTTAACGGAACTCTTTTCACACCAATCAGATTTCAGGATTCGTTACCGTGCCCCCTGAGAAAAAATAAATTCATGAAAACTTTTCATACCATTGTAAAGTTTGTCAAGCTTATTCAGAAGTAAGTCCAAGTTGCCAAATGTAATTTTTTCATAATTTGGAAGTTGCCTCGCCACTATTAGTCCAAGTATATTGCATACAACCCGACGAAGCGACCTCGGTTTCCGAAGTCTTTCACGGTTTTTGCTCCCATTTTTCGGTTTTTCTGTTTGTGTATTCTGTTTATGTTTCGATTTCCCCTTCATTATAACGGTTTTTAAACTAAAAGCTGAGCTTTTTAGCTCTTGTTGTTCAGTTGTTTGCCTGGTTTGCTCTTGTTTACTGGTTCGAGGCAGGCTCTCGTTGCGACCTCGGCTTGGTCATTTTTTTCAATGATTTTTCGATGTTGATGAAATTTCGGCCGGTTTTCCAGTATCTATGTGGCCTTGATGCCCCCTTCTGAGGAGTTAATGGTGGATGGGAGGAGAAGGTGAGAAGGTCATGAAAAAAGGCCCCCTTTTTTCTAATATGCTGAAGCAAAGTTTACCGACAAAGGTTGAAATTTCCATTACAGTCGTAATTTAAAGCAAATAACACCCTTTTGAAATTTTTCGGCATATACACAACCGAAATGCTATTTTTTACGCTAACACCTAAGTAGTTAAATGACAAGATTTTGATTCATCCCATTTTAAGCTCATAGAACCAGCACCCCATCGGCTAACATGCGATTAGGAGTTCTTTTTTCCTAGAATTCCGCGCTCCCCGCTAAAGAGCGCCTGGTTGTAAGTTTCACATCCATCACCAGTTATCGAGCTTTTGTCTCGGATATCAGTATTTGATGAGATAAAACTGGAGAGATTTCGCCAGAATACCAAGCCACGATTTTAGTGCCAACATACTTACGAATAAACGGGAATGAAAAGTGAACAAAATAGAAAACAAAAATTACTCAGAAGTAGCAGACGAGTGGGAGACTGGTACTTTATGTTGACCAAATATGGAATATTTCCTCCACTCTCCACAGTAGCGATTTTGCACGAATTGAGGAGTTCAGCTCAGCTGAGTGTAAAATCGCTAGGATCGTCTTGTACCTTCCAAATGTCTGATGTAAATCAGGAGTCAGAGGTAATTTATAGGTTTTCTTTTAGTATTAATAGCCTAAGAATAATACAGCTTGTATCGTTTGTTTTCGTATTTCCCAGTTTGTTTTCAATTGATGAATCAACCTTCGATCAAGGATTTTGTGTTACCTTCAGATCCCTTTTAGAATAGCTCGGGTAATATTTTTTGGGGGGAGCTAGAGCTCTGTCTTTGGTCCACATAGAAATGTAGTTAAAGGTTAATACTCGTATTATGATCGTGGAGAAGTAGTAAAGTAATGTAACGAAGAATTTAATAATCGTGACGACCTCATGGTAGTGTGTCTCCAATGGCGATGAAAAAAAACATGTTCAACGCGAGCAACTCGTTAGTGCCCATAAAACTTATGGGCTACTACTTGAATTTGGACCATTCCTTCAAGCCTAGGCCTTAGCCTTTTTGCTTTGAATCTTTCTGCTAAATAGTTTACATATGGGTATTTCTTTCCAAATTCTCAAAATACAGAATTCATTGCCTCTCCGTCTCCATCACGAGTTAGCAGTTAAATATTCAATTAGTAATGGTTGTAGGACTGAGTGGAGTCCCATCCAGTCTGTAATCATCCAAGTGAGTGACAAAATATTATTTGGATGATTGTGAAGCAGGAGTCTGATTTGTTAATTATGAGTCTGATTACAGACAGAATTAGACTACAGGAAGTACTGTAATACCAATTAATCAATAATTTGATAAAATTTGGGAAATAAACTAACCTTTGGTTGTACATTTTCACAAAAACCAATATTAAACTTGGAGAAATATGCAACAAAAGCGTGCACACAGGAAGAATACAGTCCATGATGCATACATTGTCCAATTTGAGTGTGATGATTATACTGCCCTATTGGTGATTGGATCAGGCTGGTTATAACCAGTCATGTTAAGAATTTTGTTATAGGCTTAATTTTTGTAATCATGAGAAACGACTTTGGCAGATTCTTAAATATTCCAATTTTGTTTGACTAGCTTTTAATATATTGCACTTTGCAGGGAGTGAAATTGCACTTAGTACAGGCACCAACTTGACTAAATTCTTCACTTCGGCAACCAAATCCTGAAAATTAGTCACCAAATTGGCGACTAGAATGCTTCATCATAAACTTACCTATAGATATATTATGAATTAGGACCTGTTTACATGGGGGTGGGGGACCCCAGGTAGGCGAGGTAACCTGCCTGTCTATAGTCTATATAATTTCTTATTTTATCTTGATCATGTTTACATGATAGGTGGGGAAATCCACCTAAGCAGGTTGCCTGGTCTGCCAGGTAGGGTAACCCTGTCAGCTGGGATGACAATTTGCTATGAAAATGTCTCAAGGTGGGGTAACCTACCTAGTCAGGGTTGTGTTTGTGGCAAAAAGCTCAAAAGCAAAACATACACGTTTTAAAACTTTGTACATTTCCAATGTGACTAAATTTTTCACTTTGGCAACCAAATCCTGAAAATTAGTCGCCAAATTGGCAACTAGAATGCTTCATCATAAACTTACCTAGAGATATATTGTGAATTAGGAACTGTTTACATGGAGGTGGGGGACCCCAGTAGATGAGGTAACTCACCTAGGTGGGGTAACCTGCCTGTCTATATAATTTCTTATTTTATCTTGATCATGCTTACATGATAGGTGGGGAAACCCACCTAAGAGGGTTGCCTGGTCTGCCAGGAAGGGTAACCCTGTCAGCTGGGGTGACAATTTGCTATGGAAACATTTCAAGGTGGGGTAACCCACGTAGCCAGGGTCGTGTTCATCGCAAAAATCTCAAAAGTGAAACATACATGTTTTAAAATTTTGTACATTTCCTAGCCATCTCATGGCAGAATTCACTGCAAACTGCAACGGACACACAAGGAGTGTAAAATGTTCAGATTTCAGAATATTTAGCATTGTTAATCAACCATAATTCGTTTCCCAAACTTTTTCTTATGACATATTAAGTCAACAGTACCTTGTGTAACCTAACACCACATAACACAATGCGTGAAGCTTTCATTAATAAATACATATGTGTCTGAGAATTAATCTCTCGTCTTTCTCGAGATGTGAGCCTGGGACACCTTTGCTCAAACTCCTTAACTGCTAACGCAACAACAACCTCAAGAAACCTTACCCCAGCACCCTGGGGTTATAAGATTGTATGTAAACACATTTTAATTTTTGATCACAGCTAGGCAGGTTACCTCACCTATCTGGGGTCCCCCACCTCCATGTAAACAGGCCCTTAAAAAGATTTGCAAAGATAAATCTATGGCAAACTTCCTCATGAAGTTTGTTTCCAAAATGCAGCACATACTTCTCATCAATTAATAGATGCCATCTTGGATTTAGATGAGCTTGAGCATTGAATATTATCCATCCTAGTGTCCACTTTGTAGCATGTTAAAGATCTTTTTTTAACTTAATTTTGGAGGGTCTATCTAGAACGCTGGCAGCACAAAAAAAGGTTTTGTTTGTCTTTAAAAATGGTGACCAACTTTTTTTGAATTGGCTACCACTTTGGCTATCAGAAAAAAATAATAATTTTACGCCCTGCTTTGTGCTAGGAGGATTGAATGTTAAACCATTTTTTAATGTGTGTTTGTCTTGCAGGAACTTGTTTCTAGTTCCAAACTTTCAGCTACTGTGCCTGCATTTGTCCCCAAGATAGCAAACATCAGGTCAAAGCCTTCTGGCAGTGTGGTTGTTGACTCCAAGCTTTCCCCTCTTGTTCCAGAGTTCAAGCCATCCAATGTACCTTTCTCTCCTCCTTATGCCATTTCATTTTACCAACCAGAGCACACTTTTGATGATCAGTACAACAACCAGATTGAATACAAGCAAGTAAGTCATGGAAACAGCGGTGTATCAGTGTAAAGAGTCAAACATGACAGATAATTAACCCTTTAACTCCCAGAAGTGATTGAAATCCAATTTCTCTTTCTAATATCCATACATTATCCAGCAAAAAAGTAACGAGAATACTTATGTTGATCAGGTAGATGTTGTTTTCATGATAAAACAACAAATTCTTGAAACTAATTTATTGGAAAATGTGTAGCAGCTAAAGAGGAGAATTAACAGCCAGATCTTAGGAGTTAGAGGGTTATTATTCACCTCAATAAAGGTGGCTGGTGGTGGATGTTTACCTTGCTGCTTGAATGTTTTGCAAGTGAAATATCCACTGCAAGCTACTGACTGTAATGTGAATAGTTGATTAATATATAAAAAACAGTGAGATAACATAGCACAAAAATAAGATTTTAACTCATGTATTCCTGCAATGATCACAAAATTTTTTGGCATAAATTGCATAAGAGTTACTCAGAGATGAATAGCAAAGGATATTCAGTATTTGAGTGACCAGTCAGAGTGCATCTTCAATACTATCTGCTGTTCTAGCACATATTAACACATTTTATCTCTTTTTTATCTTAAGGGAATAAAAGTGTATTAGTATCATTATTATCATCATTATCATCAACATTGCAGTGTCCTCCTTTTCAAGCAGTAAAATTTAGTGTGTGTAGTACCTCTTATTACCTCCAAAATCGCTTGGAATTCTTGAAAACTAACCAGGTAAAAGGGCTGCTCTACTAGTTGGAAATTTTTTTTACCTGTTGTGCTTAAAACAAGGGAGAACACTGCATTGTCATTAGGGTATACTTCAAAATTCCTCTTGAAATTCAAAAGTAGAAAACTGTAATTTATTCTTTGTCTCCAAAATTAAAATTTATCAGGATATCTTCACCACATGGAAGAGGATACTGTTTTTCCTCAGACATGTGAAGAATCAATATTATTGTGAAAACCCATGTGTAAGATTTTCTGATTCACAATTATTACTTTTCCCCAGAAAAACCAGGGAGATTATCTAAAATCCAAGAAAAGCACAGACCAAACTGGTAAGGATGTTCTTACAAAGAGAAGGGTAGAAATTAGTAAAGAGGAAACTTCTGTGGAAAATGCTGCAGATGAAAACCTCACAACAAATACAAAGAAAAAAAGACGTAGAAGAAAACAAAAGGAACCTAATGGCTCTACTCAACAACAAACCAAAGAAGAATTAAACAGTGAAGGCCAAACACGAGGCCCACAGGAGTTAAATGATGTAAACGATAAATCTGATGGGATAAAACACAACCAAGCCAACTCAACTCATGAAAGTGAACAGTTTCCCAGTCTGCAACAAAATTCTTCATTAGTTGATTCTTCCATAAATAGCACTGAATACAGAAAATTGGATACCAAAAGCTTAATGGTGAGTTACAGTGACAAAGTCAAGAGTGTGGGAGCCAAAAATGTGAGCAGTAGTAACCATAGTGGTATAACAATTAAATCTTGGATGAAGGATTTTATGGAAAATAACCCTAGTAGGAAAAACAAACACCTTTTGAGCTCAGATAATTATGAGGGCAAGAAGGTATCAACAGATAGCTTGAGCTGTGAACATAAAAAAGATGATCAGAGGGATGATCAAGAGAAAGGACCAAAGGGAACATGGAGTGCACTGGAGGATAGTCATCATGAAAAATTGAAAAATGGTGAAATCTCCAATTTAGGAACTAGAACAGTGGATCAATCTTCTAGAATGGCTATGCAAAATAAAAGAAATTGTGTAAAAAAATTGACTTCTGATAATGATGACAACTGGAGACTCAAGAGGAATGAGACTGATGTTATGAGACATTCTACAATTTCAAGCAAAATGGAAACATTTAGGAGTTCAAACATTCAGAATACTGATACTGACTCTGGGAAGAAGAGAACTTTTCAAGAAAAAATTGAAGTTGATGGACAGAAATGTGACACAAGACATGTTGCACACAAAGAGAGTAGCAGAGTTATCACCAAGATTGAGACTCCAAAGAAACAGCAACTCTTGAATGGAATAAGTTCGGTTTTATCATCAAATGAGACTGATACAAGACAGCCTAGTTCAAATGTTAAGAGAAACTTTCAGTTTAGCTCTCAGGGAACATCTGATGAGAAAGAAAGTTCATTTATTGGTTCTTCAAACAATAGAATGGCAGAAGGTGACTTTCCCAATTTGTCTGAAAGTGTGAAAATTAAAAGACCTTTCACTATTGACAGACAGGCAACTGAGGTTAAGGAAGTGATCAGTTCTCCCAAACAACCACCAGCTCCTTTGTCCTACAGTGCTGCATTAAGGGCAGCACCTAAACCAAAGGTGAGTTACAAAGCATGCTTGAATGCTTAATAAATGCCCAAAGTGCTATCTTTAGATATTATACTTATTGATTGTGTTCCATCCGAAATTACCTACTAGTAATCAGGATCCTAAGAGTAACTTTTATCATGCTTGATGAGTACTTTCCTTGCGAGGAAGCATTTTTTCCTTTTTTGTTGCTGTAAAATCAATTAAGCTCCAGGTCGTTGACTCACGGTACTTTGCACAACCCAGGCCCTTGTTGTTGTAAGAGTGGATAAGGCTATCCAGTGGATAAACTCTGTCTAGTCAATAGCATGGTACACTTTGTAAATGCTTATATCCACCAGACAGAGATTTATACTGTGGATAGTGCTGAACACTTTTTGAACAACTAGGCCCAGATACCAGTTGGTGGAAGGGTGGATAACACTTTCCAGTGGATAAATCTCTATCCGGTGGATAATGCTGTAAATTTTGTTGACATTAATCTGTTGGATAGCCATTGATCTACTGGTTAAAGTCATCTGCCCTTTGAACATCTGGGCCCTGGAGTGAAAATGGGTGTGTGAAAGTGTTAGGGACTTGTGACAAAGTGTTCATAAGTAACTTATGATTGACTGGCATTCCTTTAAAAGGAATGAGATCACAGACTCCTTAGAAAGTTTTGGCAGCTATGCAAGGCAGTTGTATACAGATCTGTTTGATTGTTATTACCTAACAGCTACACAGTTATATAATATATTACATTGTCAAGGAATAATTTTGTGCATTTGACTATATTACTTAACAGCCAGTTCTAGTCAGTCCCTCACAGGACAGTGAACAGTCTTCCAAAGAGGGTCGTGGAGTGCTGCATCTTTCAGCAGAAGCCATAGTGGATACTGTGGAAGATGGTGAAAATCAAAAGAAGAAGAAGAAAAAGAGAAAGAAAAAGAAATCTGCAGAGACAGGAGAGAAGGCGCAACAGAATGCATCATCCAAACGAACTGAAAAGCCCATTCAAGTTGATCTTGGAAGCATGCTGAAAACAATTTCAGTAAGATAATATTGTTTCATTTCTATGCCCATTAATTGGGAAAGTAAAGAGACTTGATTTTGGACTGTAGTGTGTAGGTTTCTTCTTACATCTATTGTCAGTGGTTCCATTTTTTGTTTGGTTGACAATTTGACTTTGATTTTCAGTTGTCTAACATTCATAGTGGTAGGTACCCTTAATCACTGTTTGCTGCTTTCCAGTTTGTAGCTACAGCAGAAGTAAATGTAGAAATGCTTTTTTTCACTTTTTCAGATTCCTGAACGAACACAAAGTGGTAAAAAGCATGTGATATCCACTGGTGTGCTACCAAGTCAGCTGTCAACAACTGTTGAGGCAAAATCTCCCATGAAGAATGCATGGTTACATAAGAGAGGAGAGAATAAGGTACTTACAATAGTTTTTTAGTGTTTACAAGTCTTGCAGCAGCCAAGAATTTATCATAAATCTTTGAACCTGATGGGAAGGTACATTTGACTGGGTACAGAGAATGTATGTTCTGTAATTATACTGATTTTACTATCTAGACAAATTTAGTGCTGATGAAAAGGGTTGCATTATCCCTCTTTTTTAACTGGTCAGAAATTGCAGGTGGTGATACTTTGCCTTGGGTATAGCTCTAGAATCAACTGAGAATTTAAAGTTAATTGATAAATATTACTGGTAATTGTTTTAAATTAGCTTCTTATAAAATTTCAGTGTAACTATTATAATATTTCTTTAATTTGAATATCATTAGGTCCCCCATAACATGTTAGACTCCACGGCTCCAGTTATCAAACGTGGCAAAGAGAGAGAGACTCCAGCAAGAAAGAAGCCAAGTGCTCTGAAAAAGGTATACATATAGGTTAATATTTAGAGCTGTATAGACATGAATGTAAATTTCTCTGTCATATGTGACAGACAAGGTTACATTTGTTTCTGATGATCCATTGGCAAAATCATGGTCTGAAAGGTTACCATCTTTAAATTACTTTTTAACAGGCAAAGCTTAAGAGGGAGATTAGGATGAATTCTAATACTCTTGTCTGCCAGTGAAATATTTGTGAATGGGGATACAATAAGTATAGGTGTTGTGTATTCATTTAGAGGAGACAGTCACTCTTTAACCCTTTAACTCTCAGAAGTGATTAACATGGAACTTCTCCTTTAAATATCCATACGTTATTCAGCAAACTGGTAATGAGAATATTCAAACTTATCAGTTAAAAGTTGCTATCTTAATGTAGCACCAAGTTCTCATAACTAATTAACAAGGAAGTGTGTAGCAGCTAGAGGAGAGAATTAACAATCAGATCTTGGGAGTTAAAGGGTTAACTGCTTTTTATATTCTGTCCTTATAATAATAATAATAATAATAATAATAATAATAATAATAATAATAATACAGTATTTATATAGCACTATTTCTATTGCTATTCAATGGCGCTTTACAATTCATTGATAAAAATCAGATTCATTGATCAACTATCCAGTTAGCTGGTACAATCATGTTACTTGATGTAAGTACTTTTACATCATTCAGAAGTGCCACAGTGATATTACTAACTTTGGTACAAGTATTTTTTACTATGCTTTCAATACACCATATTAATTGGAAATATCATGATTTTAAGTTAAGTTGGTGTTAATAAGTGCAGTGAATTCTTCCAAGATGACAAAATTGCACGAGCCCATAGGGCAAGTGCAAGTTTTAGTCTTTAAAAAATTTAAAAGTGCTTATTTACACCAAATTGCACAATAAATCATGTTATTACTTATTAATAAATTACATGAAAAAAGCATCACAGAAAGCCAAGACAAACAAAATTCTGAAAGTGCAAAATATCCCCACAAATAATAAACTGTTTAATCATTTGTTACAAGCAATTAAACAGTTTATTTTTGCTTACTGTCATAATGAACAATAACCCTCTTTAGGATATCCCCACAAATGTTTTTGAAATATCACAATATTGTTTTATTCAAAATTCAACTATATTTTACAGCATATGGTTTAGGACTAAGACTAACAGTCAAGAGTTAAAGATGAATAATTCTGGAAGGATTAAGTTTTGGAGAGTTATTCTGCCATGACCTTGTAGTCTCTGAATTTAAAACATCCAGTACTAGACATGTTCATGATTTATACAACATCGTTATAAGTAAATGTGTAGTCAAATTCTACAAAAGATTCAATGTGAATGTTTAATTAAATTGTCTCTGTAGATTATTCTGAAGGAAAGAGAAGAGAAGAAGAAAGCAAGAGAGACTGGGGGAACTTCAGATACTGACAAAGACAATGAAGTTTGTGAAGATACAGAAAACAGGTTTGTGGAGATTGTCATGGTTGTCACACCATTCCTTTAACTCTTAAACTCTCATGAGTGACCAAGACAGAATTTCTCCTTATAATATCAATACAACATCAACCAGACAAGTGATGAGAATAAAGAAAAATATCAATTTGGGGATAGTTAGTTGATCCAATACTAAATTCTTTGAACTAATGTCATGAGAATTGTATGGTTCACTGTAAGGAGAATTACAAATTTGGTGTGGGAGTTAAAGGGTTAAAGATCTCTTTTCACTAAGCTGGGTTGATTTATAGCTTGGATTGATTCACAGCAAAGAGTCCAGTCTGTTTTATTTGTTGTTAATTTGGTTTAATTTATCTCTTGAGTTGATTAAGTAAATTGGACACTGCAAAGAGTTTCTAAAGCTGATGCTCAAGAGCTAATAGAGGAATTGTGGGTTGTGGGTCAATTATATTGTGATGAAATGGTAGAGGGAGTGATGTTGAAACAAGAAGAAATGAAACAAAGATGGTTATTTGATTGAAATTACCAGCCCAGCCTTCAGCTGAAAAAATGAATATTGAAAACTTCTCTCAGTAACTTGGGTGGATCCTGATTTCTTTGTTTTTGTTTTTTTTTTAGGACAAATAACTCTGAATTTGAGAATGCTGCTTTAGAGGAAGACATGCAAAGTCCATCAGAAGGTAGTAGAGTAATGTGTTAAAAAAAAAACAAATAAATAAAATGGAGGCATGCTTCAGACCAATGACTTCTGGCAAATTTATTTTTAATGTTGAAAAAAGTCTGGATCTAGCTTTTTATTCTTTTGTGATTTTGAGGTAATGTCTTTCTACTTTGAGGAGAAAAGTCTAATTTGGTCAGTGAAATAATGAAATACCAAGGAAGAACAATGTTTCTTTGATGCAGCAAGACATACAGGATAATGTGCATGCATATGATGTTGTGAAAGGCAATGAACAAGATAGAAGCTGATATGAGATTTTTAGGTTTGGGGCAGAGAAGGAGAGGGTTCCCTCTATTGTATATAAGTGTTATACTAGCATGTAGGGTTTAACAATTATTTTTTTTTTTTCATCAACAGAAACAACAACAAAAACAACAGAAGCCATCTTTTTAAAACAAATTACTGGTAAATACATGAATATTGATTCTAGGTTAAATTTTTGCTAACTGAGAAAGTACAGCCATTTTAGACAGAGTGATTGCTAGTCATGTCAAGTGGCCCAGCCATATGTTGAAGAACAGCAGATACTAAAACAGAGCTGGAGGATACAAACATAAATTATTCAAATGCACATCACAAAAACAAAAATGAAAAAAGATCTGTGTGCTTGTCATCAGATACTTTTCAGTATATCTTGGCATTTTTAAGAGGAAGATCTGAAATGGCATACTCTCCCTCTCTTTCCTTGTTATACCAACAATAAAGCTCAATGTGAAGTAATAAATTTATTTATTTATTCTCCCTGTATACACGATCATTAATTTACACGTAGCTTACAATGTAATCTTGAACATTCAAAGTGAATTTATTTTATTCAAACATAGTGCCTGTCTTCTTTTTAGATGACAATTCTGGGGCACAAGCATCTTTTCCTACAGATCAAGAAATAGCCGCTGAAATTCACAGCCGTCGTTTTAGAGAGTAAGATTGTGATTTATTTTCGCAGAATTCTTACACTAAAAGTACTTGGATTTGTGCCTATTGTACACATATATTTGCCATTCCAAGAACAGGAAGCCTGGAATTTCCAACAAACATTGTCTTATTTTTTAATTTCTTGACTTATTATTAATAGTTTATTTTGTTTAAATTTTAAAACAATTCAAACCTGAATGTTGAGACACATTTTTGGATTTCTAGGAAGAAGGAAAGTAGTTATATGATAGTTAATATGCATTTTTCCAAGTTGTAATTAGAATCAAAGTCACAGATTCTGCTCTAAATATCAGGTTTCTTGTTCTATCAACAAAATGTCTTATGTTACTCACAAAACATTTTATGACATCATTCATGGTTGATACCCTTTACTTGACAATTTCATTCTCTATTGCCATGTTGTAGTTCTTATTCCCCTTGATACTCTATTGATTAACACAATCTGAAAGAAAAGACATATTAAATAAAGCTGGTTTCAAAAATGTTTATCCTGGACCAAGAAAAAATCTGAACTACAACAGGTATGCTCAAAAACCATTTCCTATATTCATAAACACAATTACAAGATAATGAGAAAACTTTAGAAAAGGAAGTGTGCGTTATTAATATTTTTCAGGCATTGAATTTCACCCTAGGTGCACCTTGTCAATTATGCAAGCATAAAACAATTCTGGCATTATTATCTCTGCAAATAATTCTGTTATAATTTATGTACCTAATTAAACAGATAGTGTACTAATCCTCTAATGGATCTTACACTGTCTCGCTTTTAAAAATGAATTCACTTTCCTTTCAATGCATTTCCTGATTTCATGTAATGGTCCCAAAAAAAAATTTGTTCCATGGCATGTATGCAATTGATTTTTACTTTTTTCAGATATTGCTTTCAAGTTCCAAATAAGGAGGTGGACTCTGTGGCAACTGAACTGTTAAGAGAACTTGTGCGTTTTCAAGACAGGCAGTTTCACAAGGATCCAGTGAAGGTAAATTTTTCCACTCTGATGATATAACCCTTTGAACACTTAGATTCACTTGCATCTAATTTCTCCTCTATGTTTCAGCCCTGAATCACACTTTGTGGTCACAGGAAGAAGAAGAAAAAAAGAAAGAAGTTCATGATTTTTAAACAAAATCTCTTTTTTAGCATCATAGGAAATGTCAAGAAAACAGTATGGAAAAAATACATATGGATGCTAGGGTGTGAAGGGTTAATTGCAGATATTGACTTTCTTTTATAGGCCAAAGCAAAGAGAAGATTTGTCCTAGGCCTTAGAGAAGTCAGCAAACACCTCAAGTTGAGGAGGGTGAAATGTGTGATTATATCCTCGAATGTGGAACGTATCAAATCTGCTGGTAAGTTGTTTCTCAAAACATGTTTAAGTCATTGAGTCATTGCAGGTAGAAAAGTTAAATCATTCATCATTCTCTATGGTTAAACTTGTAGTATTTCACTGTCTAAACAGTTTTCTTGCAATTTTTGCATTGGCTAACAATTACCTGGTTTTATAACATGAAAGAGTAAACTTGCAATTCAGCGAATGATGTTAGTCAAGGTGGTAGACTTCTGTTGATGTCCACCCCATTTTTTTTCTTGTTGCTGCAGCAAGAGAATTGAAAATAGAGATAAAGCAATGTTTGCTTTATGTCTCCTTTGTGAATGTCAAGTTCTTTCAATACAATTGCTCTGACTTGTTTTTTGTACTTTGTACAGTAAGAAAATATCTTGAATAGTGGTTGCTGATGCAAAAATTATGCTCACCCTGTAATTATTTGTTGTCTCAAGCACATTAAATTACTTCTTTCCTATTTACTCCTCTGGAAGGAAATAATTTTGTGTCATACCCAAAAACCTGTCTTTAGATTATGGTCATTTGTGATGTTCTTTTAAAAATTCCTGACTATGAAAACTTTAAAATCAAACATCTTTCAATAATTGAAATGATATAAAATTACTATTATAATGATATTCTTCAGGAGGTCTAGATGACACTCTTGGCCGTATAATAATGTACTGCAAAGAAAATCAGATCCCAGTGGTTTTTGCTTTAAAGCGTCAGTTGCTAGGCAAAGTACTGCTGAAGAAGGTTCCTGTCAGCATTTGTGGGATATTTAACTATGATGGAGCACAGGTGAGGAAATTAAAAGTTTAGGAAGCATGATTATGCAGGCTAATGCAAATTACCAGTAGTGTTCAGGCAGACAGAAAAATGGAACTTATTGGTGAACATTTGACAATTTGAGAGCACTCTAGAAAAGACTAACTTACTCATAGAACAATAAAACCTTAGGGACTGAGAATGGTGTCAGCATTAGGGAGCTTTTTGCTTTGTAGAGATCACAATAGTGACACCACTTTTGAAACTCCACTGACAGTTTGTAATTGTCTCTTTCACCTAAAAAAGTAACATTTTTTTAAACTTCTATTCTTCAAGACATCTCTCCATAATTTATTTGCCAAGTGAATGGTAAACTGGCTGTTGATGTTTGTGTAATTGCAAAGAGGACTGAACATTAAATGCGCAAACTATCATCACCTGGGGCTAAGCTTTAGTATTTGTTGTCCACTGCAGAGAGAGTCTGTATTAAAGGTTTCTTTTTAAAGAGAAATTATTTCAGAATTTAGTCAGTAAATTGGAAACTGTGTTGGTCTTTGAGGGGTTTTTCCTCAGGCTTGTTGTTTGTCTGGCTATTAAGATACTTGTATTTTTGACACAGGATCATTTCAAAAAACTCATTGAGCTGACACAGAAGACAACGCAAGCCTATTTTGAGAAGTGGCAAGAAACTAGGGAAAAACTAGAGCAGTCCCAGAGGGAATCAACAGGTACATTGTATGCTGATATTGTAAGACTTTTTCTTCAGACTGAGAAATATTGGTGGAGACTTTTATTTGTCAGGCTGATGTGATGAAGCAATCAACTCCTGAAACTGTTATATTCTATTAGCCATGAAAAACCCTTATCATCGATTATTAGAAGCTCCCTACCCAAGTGAAATAAACTTACTTTAATAAATGACTAGGGTTATGTATACTCCACTTCTACAAGGTGCAATCATTTGGCATTGAAACATTGATTTTGCTTCTACTATTCTTGTTTTAATGACAAAAGCTGATGCTAAGTTGGATAGTGCTGGGGAAGGAGAGTACGCCCATCTTTCATGTGATGTCACTGGAGAGAATGCCTTGAACACACACCATTTTGAAGATACTAATGAAGTTGACGAGGATAATGATGATGATGATGATGATGGAGAAGATGAAGACAATGATGATGATGATAATGAGGCAGAGAGTAGTCATGACATTGAAGAGAGTGAAGATGGCATGATAGAAAATGATTTATTTGTTCAGAAATTGTAGTCAGCCCTTTGGTTTTTAGTTTAACAAGCCTACGAAAAAGACCCTCATTAACTGAGGTGTTGATTTGATTTAGTTTAAGAATGTTTCAAAATGTTCAAGATTAGGGATGATGAGCCATAAAAATGGGGTCTTTGCTTTGTAAGATAGAAAAGATTAGAAGGAGGACTACCAAGTTCATCTATTTTAAATGGAGTGGACAAACCAAACATTATAAACTGTAAGGCATTGGGAGCCATTTGTGCCAAAAATGTGAATTGCTAGTGACAAATCTCAATCATTAGTGCTAGATATCAATCTCTAGTAAAAAATCTCAATTGCTAGTGCTAGTAACAAACAAAAATTGGAAATCAATCTAGTTGCCATTCTAAATTGGTCAGTGGTTAATGCAGAACCTCAGTTGCTTGTGTCATGGCATCAAATTCCCATGAGACTGCTATTGAAAGCACTAATTAGAATCACTGGTGTTCTGAGGCAGATTGATTGCACTAAATATCAAGTGCAATTGCAGTTTTTATTATCAATCAATAGTGTCAAACCTTTATTGCTTGTGTTATTTTTAAAATACAGCAATTGTAACAATGTAAATGGCCAATGTTGCCACAGATTGTTTGTGAAACGTCAGTCATTAATGCCAGCGTCACTCAAATAGCTCCTCATAAGAAAGAACAAGTCATTGGCTGAGAAAATGATTTAAAAGTTTCAAGTTAAAAGGTGTGGATTTTCGAAAACTATGGACTTATGTAAAACATTATTGTATGTTTGAAATGTATATTTAGTTATGACCAATTCAGTAAAGATCAGAACAAGGCAAAAAGCTGTTGTTTTTGTGCAGGATTTCATTAGCCACTTTACCTAAAATACATCTCAGTTTATTAAAAACAACTTTGTAGAAATATATTACCATCTACTTTATATTGTAATTTATATGATTAACTACCAATTGTACAGAGCCAAATTTAATTTATAGACATTTGCCAATGGTTATTGTTAATTATGATTTTTTAATAAGTAGTGATTTAAAAGTTTATGAGCAGACTTCATTTGGTCACAAAAATGAGAATACTTCTCAAAGAGCATACACAATGAAAACTGTCTGCTTATGCTGGTTAGCTTTACTAGTATAATGGTTGGCCAAGTTAACCGATCTTGATGCAGAATGCCCACTGTAATGCCAGAAACAGAGCAAACATAAAACTTCATTATTGTGTAAAGGACATGAGACCAAGTAGTGTTTAATTTATTCTATATTAATTTACATGATACCAATCATACTAAATAAGATGACAGTGAAGCTGAAGTCTGATTCTTTAAAAACCAGTCAATCCAAATTGTAACAAATTTTGAGGCACAAATATGTATTGTTCAAACATGTTCAGAGATAACAATGTACCAGTTGACCTTCTTCTATGAGAAAATGAATCTAAAGTTTATTTAACAGCACACAGTGCAGGCATGTTTGAAAGTGAAATTAACTGTAAGAGGTGCGTTACATGCTATTCAAAATTCTTGTTTTTCTTTATACTTACATTTAGAAGAAGTTATTAAACTAGTTATGTTAAACTCTTATTCACAAATGTATTCTCAATGTTTAAGTTATGAACTTTTATTGGACAATGTGACAAATAGGTAGCAATAGATGGTGAGTTATATGTAGCCAATCAGATTACAGCATTTGTGATAGAATGCAAGAAGATTAATCCTAAGTTGATAGATAACCAATGTGATTGTAGTTTTGATTTTGCTCAGATTATCTAATATACAATATACACAAGTGGAATTACTGTTTTATTAAAATGGGTTACAATGTAATGGCAGTAAAAGGATTCCCTTCCACGCTGAAGAGTGCATAAAGATTATGTAACAGTAAATTCACATGGCTGGAACTGTTCCTAATCAATAGCAAGGGCACCAAATGTCTCTCAAGTTGAAATAATTAATATTTTCTTTGTAATTGTCATTTTCTGACATTTATATAATTATAGAAGTGCAGCAAGGGTTGACCTGTATGACACAACAGAGGAGAAATTTTTTTTGAATAAAACATACCAGGAGTCCTTTGGGGGCTCCTATGCTTTACATGACAAGCACCAAATCGAGGAATTGCTAAAAACTCAGAAATCTCCCCTTACTTCGTGGTCTACCCTTGCTTTGATGAGGTGTGTGGTTGTTGAAGATTTAGTGTGTTACATGTACTTATTAAATAAACAAGTCAATGGATTTCTCTTTAAGGCTGAGTTTCTTAACAGTTTCATATGCAGCTATCATGATAACACTTGAAGGAACCCAAGACAATATACTAGCAAGCATTCCTTTAGTCAATGACTTTGGTCCTTCTTTCTTGAGTAGTTCTTGAAAGGATTTGGTCATGGATTTTCCACCTTCAACCTTAGAAATGAATTAAATAGACTAACTTATTTGCTGAAAAGAGGAATAATAACTATCAGGCTTAAATATTGGCCCAAAAAAGGCTCTTCCCCACAGTGGATCTGACTCCCTTTTGAGACGTTCAAAATGTCCAGAATAGGAATCATTTGGAGAATGGTACATTTTTTGGACAAATCTCCTCACAAATATAAATTTAGAGAGGGGCAAGCTCTTTTTGTTTCCATCATTTGTAGCAGCCCTGAAATAGCTAAAAGCATAAGTGTTCAGAGCATTACTTGAATTTTGACGAAAATGCAGCTTTAATTAATAGTCATTTAGAATCATTTCTGAGCATTAATGGACTTGAAAATGACCTGTCATTAGTTTGAATTGTGCCCCACAGTAAATTGTAATATCTGTTGCAATGTAATTTGTATCTGTATTCATTTCGTTTTTGATTTTTCTACGATTACCTGAAGTCTTGTTTTTACAATATCAAACGGATTCCCAATGACGGCTGCATTCAACCCTGAAAGTCCACCAGCGACACTCTGGATTAGAAGATGAGATGTACCATGTGGGGCGTAATCCCCAATTATGTCTATGTACACACCATATGAGCCCCACCAGACAGCACTCCACAATGCCCCGGTCATTAACGAGAGGACAAATCCCCTGTAGAAACCACCCACACCATAGTCTTTAAACACGTCTGCAGAGATGTGAAGAGCTCCCTTAAGTTTTGTGTTGTTTTCTCCTTGTCCTTGAATCATAAGCTTTTGAGAAATCACCTCGATTGGATTTGCTAAAAACTGCTCCATTAGCGCCGCAACTCCACCGGCCACAAATCCTCGAGTGCCATCGCCAAAGAAAGACATTTGCGAACGTGAAACTTCGTAGCTTGTCACGTAGAAATGCCCAGTTAAAACACTCATTTGGCTCACCAGGAATCCTTTGTAAAACCCAATAAGTCCTTCAGATCTGAAGGTTTTGAAAACAGCATCAAGCGTTCCTTTGTAGAGAGCATTTGTCCGCTGCAGTTGCAGTCGAGTTTTGATCACATCTGCTGGGTATAAAATAGTATTTACTCCAACGAAGAAAACACTTCCGTAGGTGTAGTATTTAAGCTTGTCAACATGCTGCCACTCAATCTGTTTGACTTCCTCCGGCATCCAGGAAAGAACAAAAGATTGCCTAAGCAAATCTCTTGTTCAAACATCTGCGCGAAAGCGCGCTGAAATGTAACGCACAACCAGGGTGACTTCCAATTATTACATCATCAGCAGTGTTACGTCAAAAAACGGAAAAGTTCGTAATTGTACTAATTCGACTCCCTTTGACCTAATCTTTTTTCCACTACATTTATAAAGGTGCGTGGTTCAATCTTTCTATCTGCCCACTTGTTAAGCGTGGTTACCAGCGAAGAGACGAAGTAGAGAGTATTCCGTTACTTCATTGTTTATTGCAAGCCCACGCTTTTCGAGGAGGTCACGCGAACTCTTGATTTAAGAAAAATGGAGAACAAAAATCCAGGCCCCTCCTTGCCTACATGCGACAACTGTAATGTTGTTATTATTATTTTTTTTCTCTCAAGCAGCATTCGTCTGAGTTCCCATAATTGCTTCCTATTCTGTTTCCAGAAATTAGTCTTGATCAATGTTTCATCAAGAAAGCTACTGCCTCCGCATTAGAGCATTTTTCAATTGAGTTTTGAAATATAGAATTGCTGTAGTTTTGCTCTACTCTGTGCGGTAAGAAGAACCTTTGAAGTGCAAAGGAATGGCTAGGATTTTTTAAAGGGTGTGCGGGGGTGGAGAGGAAGGGGGCCACATTGTATCACACAAAGAGTATCTACCCCTCTGTCGTGTAGACATCCACGCTGTGCTTCACTGTGAGTGGCATTTCTTCGGATGATCAATGAGTGATTCATGTCGTGGAGAATCCTCTTGTTCAAGCTTTTTTACCACCTCAATCATGTTGTAAGTTGTTAAAAATTGAAAAATATATATCACCAAGGGAGGATATGTGCACACCCAGATCTTCCCTTAGCTACACCCTTGAATATACAGTTGTTCTTGGTTGCCCTCACTTCAACTTCTTGGTTTCCCTTTAAAAATATTCATCTGATCTGCCTCCCCCAAGTTGAAATTTATCACCAAATTATTTATCCAAAATATTTCTTTCTTTCTCTAAGTTGGCCCTAAACTGCCCCATTTGGGGAGTGGAGTGGTGATTGAGTTTGTTATTGTAATTATTAAGCTACCCATGATCTTATCATTTAGTCCATAAGTTCTTAGTAACACCTTTATATCATAAAATAACCTTTATATCATCAACAATAAAGGAATCAAGTGAAACCTTGACTTTTCCTTGGATGGAATTTTGGATCAATTAAAATATAGAGCCACACAACAATTATTACATGTAATTGTTTATTCTAAAAGATTCTTCACTTGTAGTCCTTGTACAAATCTGTGAAATGGCTAGGTTACAATATCATCATCTTTTAACAGGCAAAATTTGAAGCTCCTGTTTCTGATGCATGAAGAGCAGCATTGTCCACCTGGCAGGCAGGGGTTAAAAATTCTAAGGGCAAACAAGACTTTTGCCATCTGTTTTATACATTTCTTTGATTTGCTCCTTGATGGTGCAGTCTGATCAATTGGGTGAAATTTGTCCTAAAATAGACTAAGGCTAGTAGTGCTGTGGTGAATAATGTTTGATGACTTGTTGACTTTGATGTATTTGACATCCACTCCAATTTCTCAAAGCATTAGTTACTGCAACTGATAACAGACCTTAAGTCTCTCACCCACATAATCAGATTACATAATTAACTCTTACTCCTGGGTTTAATCCATTTAATGGTTGAGCCCCTTGTTCAAACTTGCACACTACATTTACCATTACAAATACAAATACTCACTATTCAGCCATACAGTTCATGTTCGTGGGCATAAATATGTATTGGGCCCAAGTCAGAGTCACATTAGTCACAACTGTTAAGTGAGGGTTAAAATGAGTTCTGGAAAGGGCCAACACCTATTCATACCCAAAATGTTTTGATTTTATTACTATTATTATCATATTAAAGGCATTGGGAAAATAAGGACTGAAAAAAAAAAGACAAAAAACCAGTCTGAACAATCATACCAGCATGCAAGTGTTTTAGTACACCAAACTCTCCATTTTAGCCTGCAAAATGCATCACAATGCCCAACAAAATGTTAATAATATAGAGATATTATTTCACTATTATTCAATGACAGAATTCTCCTTCAAGCTTAGTTTCTTGACCATTTCATACCCAATTATTGTAATAGCACTACAGGGCATCTCAGAAACGGCACTAGCAAACATTCCCTTTGTTAAAGCCAGAGCTCCTTCATTCTTGAGCAGATCATGCAGAGTTCTCAAAATAGACTTTCTTCCTTCCACCTGAAAGAAGTTGTAAGTACATTTATCTGACAGAAAAAGAGGTTGAATACTAAGTTACCTATTCCCTTCATTTGAGGAAATTTTCAGTGCTGTCTATAATTTTTCAAACCTGATTTTCCCAAAATGGATGAAAAAGATAACAAGATTATTCAGTCAGTGACTCACATCAGTGGGCATTTTGGAAAATATTATGAATCAGTTGGCTCACAGATATTTTGTTTTGTTTTATTTCATTCTTTTGCTTCTGAGAGTTTTGAATTGAAGAAAAGTAAGTTAGTGCAAAATGAACAAAGGAAGTAAGTTTCTAAAAAAAAACTGTGGTGCTATGTTGGTGGGGGAGTATCATAAGATAATTTTGGCATTATCAACCGAGTTGATAATGTAAATTGGTCACCAAAGAGAGTTTCAAAGCAGGTATTTCAAGTGCTAACCCTTCATCAGAGCAAATAACGAAGGGATACCGCTCCAAACGTCAGCTTTAAATCTTAATGGTGGCTAATTCACATTATCAACTCAGTTAATAAACCCAAATTATCTTGTTGGTGCTAAGTCTGCCAAAACAAGTACAAGTCCCAAATATAACCAATTATCTCTTCAAGTTTGCATTTGTCAATTCTCCTATAGCTCCTTCTTTAGCAGTATCTGAACCATGATCAAGTCTAAACTTTTAGGTCTTCAACAGTCAGAATAATAACTTAAAGGTATATGTCAAAACTTTCAAAATTGTCATGTTGGTTGACTGGGTTTCACTGAATGAAGCTACCTAACTTAAACACACATTAGCTCCATTGACATGGGACGAAGAAAGGTTGATGAGACTAACATTTTCCACTTCAATAAGACTCAAGCCCATAACTCACCTGTAGTCTGACCCTAATGACGTCAATGGGATTACCCACCACAGCAGAGCTAATTCCAGCTAGCATCCCGGACAGACCCTTGATAACGAGATGTGACGTTCCATCAGGAACCATTTTCCCAATCATATCTAAGTAGAACCCATAAGAGGCCCACCAAGTGGCACTCCAGAGCCCCTCGACCATCAAAGACGCCGTAAACCCACGATAAAAGCCAAAAACTCCATGCTCTTTCAATACTCGCTTTACAATCACGACAGATCTCAAGGTAACGCGCTGCTTATTTCTTTCTCCTTGCCCTTCAACCATCATTCGCTGGCATATAACATCTACTGGATTTATAAAGGTTTGTTCTAACGCAGCAGCGAGACCTCCAGCTAAAAATCCGCGGGCTGCATTTTGCAGCGTGGAGAATTGTTCTCTGGAAATTTCGTAGCTTGAAGCGTAGATATGTCCAGTGAGAACGCCGAACTGACTTACCGGGAATCCTTTGTAAAGTCCTAAAAATCCCTCGTTTTTCACAGTCTTGTAAACGACATCCAGCGTGTTTTTGTAAAGAGCTTTGGTCCGCTGGAGTTGGAGTCGAGTTTTCACTAACTCGACCGGAAATAGCACAGCATTTGTAGTTAACATGTACACGTTCATAAAAAGAAAATACTTTTTCTTTTCCAACTGATGCCATTCTATTATTTTCACTTTTTCTGGCATGGTGACAATAATAATTCCTAAATCTCCTCACTTCCATTTCTAGAGGGATAAAAATATTACATGGACGATGGGCAACCCTGCAAACTCGTCGCCATGTTGTATACTCAGTAGCCTGGCCAAACAATAGTATCCGCGCCTCCCAGTCTTGATATCAAAACACGCCAAACAACAACCGAGCAACAAAAGATGTGTTGATTTTCAAAACTGTGTCAATCTCAAGATATGAGGTTAGAAATCAGACCCCATTTTAACAGTAAATCCTGAAAGCGCAAGTTTAGGTATAGATGCCGTATCATTTACATTATGGACAAAATCGTTTAAGACTTGATTTTGGCTGTCTAGGATTTTATACATATCCTTTGTCCTTTAGGTGTCTTCATATGTTTTTCTAATAAATAGTGCTACTGTAGACTGACTTGTATTGTTATTCCTAATATATCCCAATCAGAGATCACATGGAAATCAATAGAAGGAACATTTTCCATAATCTGTTGGTGAGGGTTGTCCAAGGAAGAACTGTTGTTAGTGTTGGAGGTGGAGGTTTCAACAACCTTAGGGGAGTGATGATGACTTCAGCTTAGGTTGTTGTAATGTTAGTCACTAGTGATAACAATAGTCTTTCCTTTTTATGAACAGATTCACTTTGTAAATCTAATATTCCTGTATAATTTGCATGCACCACAATTTACATAAAGAAACAGTTACCGCTGAATCACTCCTGAATCTGTCTTGCGAATTATTGTTTGTGATGTTGAAGAAAATTAATGTTCTACCCTCTCCCTGATGTCTTTTACTTAAAAAAAGACAATTCTGATAATAAAAATCTATGGAAAAACAAAGTGTAACTAAAAAATGTTAAAATTACCAAACAGTGTACAAATTTATTTGATGAACAACTTCTGTTTTGTTAACATGGGCTGCTCAAAGAAAGTTACTTTCTGATCCAGAAAGCTATGAACACCTGAAATATTTCTGAAATAAACCCTGTCACAACTGGTCACATTTGAGTTATAATGATGACTGAGCAACCAGCAGAGTTCTTACTCAGTTAATTAATTATAACATAATAGGCACAGACCAGTTCTGGATCACTCACACTTCTCTTAGTCGTATAGCCTATCTTAGTCACATAGCCTATGCCAGATGCCTGATGAGTGGAGAAATTAGAATAGTAAAAACAGCAAAAATTATGGAAATCTTGGTAGGAAATAATTTTCACATGTCCACAGATCTCTACCTTTCTTTACTCCCCTTTTTATTGTATCCTCTAATTAAATGCTTGGAAAAAGTTAAGCTATAAATATGAATAGAGTTAAATTTTGTAAATGTGTGAAACAAATATAATTCTATAATAGTTGATAATGCTCATAATAAGCTGTTGATTGCCTGCAAAATCATAAGCTCTACATTGTACAATAATCTTGACCACTTTAAATCTTGTCTTGCAGAAGCTGTTTCAATGAAAATTGTGATTTCCATCCTTGAGTCCTTCTCCCATTAAACAAAAGACACCTCTGAAGGTTGCTAATTGTTAAAAAATTTCACCATTTTTTACGTGTTTTAATTACCTGCCTTCAAATGAGCTTTAAGAATAGATTTCCTTATATTGTTGTTAAGATTAATTCCCTACATTCACCTTTAATTCTAATCCAACATTAATTATTCAATATACCTTCGATCATTTTATTGTAAAGCTTCAACGCGCAATCTCCTCTCGCCGGATGCTGCACTAAAGTGGTTTCCTTGTATTCACAACGGTTCTCATACATACGAAATTCCTTATTATGAGTCACTTTTACGCCAGCTCTATTTGCCAAAATACCAATGTAAGCATCATCGATCTTGAGCGGTTTAAAAACGTCAAAATACGAAAGAAACTTTTCCACCACGTCGCGTGACAAAATATAACCTCCACCACTACAATAGGGCTTATAAATGGTTTCATTGTATTCCTCGGGTGCGACACCATATCTGCCATTTCGCAAAACAACACTTCCAGCCATAAGATTCCCGGTATAAAACTTTTTCTTCGGTGTCGTATATTTGCTTAGAAAATCCATCAAACCGAAAGTGTTCACAAACACGTCATCGTCGGACTTAAGAAGATAGTCAAAAGTGCAATATTTAAGAGACCATTCAAAACCCATGGCAACTTTATAACTCATGTTCCAGAAATGTTCATGATAATCTGCTTGAACCATATCGCCGTATATTTCGGACTCCTTCCTCACTTTGCCCATTTCATCGTGTTTGTCGTTCTTCCCCAGAAGGAAAACGGTTTTCCACTTGGTTTTGATCGAGTATTCGGCGCCCCATGTCTTGCGAATTAAATGGCGCCTGTCAAAATTCCCAACGTTCGTGGACACCAAAATAAGAAGAAACAGCGAGTTGGGGCAAATTGCCGTGCTCAATAGTCTAGTGCGATGAGTATGGAGTTGATCATTGAATGTGGTTACAGCATGAGTTGCCAACGCATCCAATTGAATGCTTGATTCTATTGAGTGCGTTTTCGACAGCTCATCCGGAGAAAGAGTTACTTGTAAATTGACGTTTAAATTGATGTCGTTCCATACTCGCCAAATTCGTACTGTGAACAGAAAAGCAATGCAGGTCAGAAACAGTGGAATTGATTTCCTCAAGTAGCGAATAACGAGTCGCATAGCCGCTACCAGCAATGTTCCGTGGTTAGCAAAAGTTCAGAAGAATTAAACTAAATGGGCTACGTCTTAGAATGTCTTACATTTTTTAAAACAGAACTCGATATCAGGTAGCGTGACGTTGGTGATGAGTAACGCAAGTTGCATTTCTTGTCTTTTGAGTCTCTATGTTCCGTTTTTCAAGGGACTTAAGGGAGCTCACACTTTGTTTTATTTAAATTTGCCTACATCTGATTGTAATGGGACAAAAATTACCATCTTTCTTGTTAAATTTATTTATTCTTTTATTACAATTGAAGAGCAATTGATTGATAACAATGATTATAGCCATAAGGACGATTTGTAAAACAAATCTCTCCATAAATAGATAATAATGAGAATAAAACTGACGGTAATTTTAATAATAGTGATAATTAAATAATACGATGATAGTATAGGTTACACTGTATGAAAATGTATGATAAAAACATAAAATAAGAGCATGACAGGAAAAAAATTGAAATGGTTTACGCAGAGACGGGCGTCTCTTCGTTTAATAACTAATCGCGCCTCAGCCACGTAACTCCTTAGCTGAACCGCCAGAGGCGGATCTCTTTAAGAGACCGAAGTCCAACATGTTCTTTAAATTTAAAATTCATATGGAGAATATGAGCTTTCCGCCTGAAGTGAGATCATTTACAAGAGCCAGCATTTTGCATGCTAACTAAACTGAGTACAATGGAACGACGCCTTACGGTCACCTCGGTAACACAGCCACTATTTCATGGCCCGGGAAAACGGCTATACATATTCTTGTAAAAAAAAAGTCTCGTCACCGGTTAATACGGCCAACAGCCACATTTTAAGGTCCCAAAGAATAGAATACTTTCAACATAATCTGTTCTAATTTCACCCCGTAAATATGGCCACAACCGACAAGCCTGTGATATGTCGATTTTATTTATCTTTGTCATTTACAAATCAAACAGCCGATTTGTTACAAACACGATAAGGGAAACAAATCTTGACTCTAACTTTGCGAAGCGATCAAGATTTGGCTCATTGGGAACCGTATTAGGAGGGTACCATGATGGTTCCATGCTTTTGCAAGAACTTTTGTTCGTTGAATTGGAATGTGTTCCGTTTAAGTGCTTTCTCCAGCAAGGCTTTGGAATGAGGGAGGCACCTCTGTAAAAATTCTCGAAGGCTGGCAAACAAATTTCTCCTCGTCAGTACCATTGGTAACGTGAACACAACCGTATGGAGAATTAGTAAGGTCAAAAAGAGTCAAATTCCCTTAATTTTTTTTCTGTCCCACCCTCGTAAGGAGACAAAAAAAGTGTATACCTCTAAATTTGAAACTGTTGCACTACAATCCATTATTATGATCATTGCTTACTTCATGTCGCAACATAATAGCCCGATGTAAACTTTTGATCTGTATGCTTTGCTAAGTTTGATTTGTGTAATACTCAGGAAACGCCCGAGGTATATATTCGGCCTCGTTTTTTTTTTTTGCGTCAGTCACAAAACGCAGTTCAACTACAGCGCATGCGTAGAATGAACCCTAGAGCGTATGGTTTGTAAGCTCAATACGAAGAGGGTAAGATTAAGTAAAGTGACACAACATGAGAAGAAGTATTTGTTGAATTGTTCTGTGAGGGTATATCAAAGGATAATTAAATTGAAGTGTAGAGCAAGTCGGTATTTATCATTGTTCAAGGAATCAATTCTGCTGATGATCTCGTGTCAATAATGTATATTGGAAATCGGTTGTATCAAGTTTGTCTCAGTTAACCAGACAATTATTTTTAATGCAGACAGAATTACCCACACTTTTAAACGTGTTACAACTGAGACTGACTATGAACTTCAATACAGTGAAAGCAACACTGGTACTATTCATCGAGAAGCTACAATAGAAGGACACAGTACTGTACCTCCTTAGATAGAGTCTTTCAATCACTTATATCCGAAAATTTTAACAATTTTGTATTGGCAATAGGATGTACTGCAGTTGCTATCTATTGTAAAGGTAATGTGGGCATTGAAAAGTTCTTTAATTTCAACCTTTAACATCTGTAGGAACCTACTCCTATATGGTAATATATTATTTTGATCGTTGTCTAGTACCATAACAACATTCATTACACTCTAGCAGACAAAAATAAACACAAGTAGACTTATTCATGACTGGCAATGACGAAATTACGTGACGATAGCAACAATGGCAATATGGCAGTCCCCTAGAGATAACTCCAGATGTGCGATATTGAAAGCCCGAGTTCACGCAGCTATGCGTCTAGTTACAGGGAAATTATGGGTACATTGTCGATTTTATTTGGCAGCCGCTGTTCGGAAACGAGCCTGCACTACTCTCTTTAAGGGAGCATTAAAGACTGAACCCGATGAAATGGAGGAAATCGGAACCAAGTTTTTTATCAATTTATTTCTGTTTTGGTTTCATTACTACTAGTATGGTAAGCACTACTTTTGTGGACTTTTCATCACAATTTTCATAGAATTAAAGACAATCAAGTAGCTTCCCACGGGAGCCCAAACAATCGACGACAGTAAGACATTATAAACTTATCAACAGTTGATTACCTCTTGAAGACTGAAAATTGTCCAGGAGAATCCACACTTTGCTCTGCTTTTTATTCCATGCTACAAAATTCAACATGGACAGAGAAAGTATACTTTTTATCATTACGACTTGATTGCATTTAACATGTAAAGAAAATCGTATGGTCTTGAAGACATTTTTTCAATTATTACCATAGAGCATTGACAAAAAGATAGTCAATGGATCGCCCTAGCCATTTCGGTACATCTTGCTTTTCCAGCTTATCATTCTGTGGTAAAGCATTAACGCGCAGTCTCCTCGCGCTGGATGCTGCACTAAAGTAGCGTCCCTGTATTCACATTTATCTGCGTACATACGAAACTCTTTATTATGAATCACTTTAATTCCAGCTTTTTCTGCTAGTATACCAATGTATGCATCGTCAATTTTAAGAGGCTTTAACACGTCATAATACGATGAAAACGTTTCCACCACGTCGCGGGATAAGATATAACCTCCTCCGCTACAATATGGCTTATAAAGGGTTTCGTTATATTCTTCGAGGGTAACTCCATATCTTCCATTTCTCAAAACAGGACTGCCGACCATGATATGACCGGTGTATAATTTACTCATTGGCGTTGTTTGTTTGATTAGAAAATCCACCAAACCGAGAGTATTCACAAATACATCGTCATCTGCTTTAAGAACGTAATAAAAGGTGCAATATTTGACCGCCCATTCGAATCCCATCGCAACTTTGTAACTCATGTTCCAAAAGTGTTCTTGATAATCTCCTTGCACGATATCGCCGTATACTCCGGATTCTACGGTAGCGTTTTCCATTACTCTTTCATTGTTGTTCTTCCCTAAAAGAAAAACTGTTTTCCATTTGGTTTCGATCGAGTGATCGGTACCCCAAGTTTTCCGTATCAGCTGACGCCTATCAAAATTCCCGACATTCGACGACACCAAAATAAGAAAAAGTAGAGGGTCCAGTGGACAGGTCGCGTTGGTAAGCAATTTTGTACGAAGATTTTGATTTTGAGAATAGACCTCTTGGTCTAATGAGTTAATTGTCTCTTCCCTTTTTGAGGCAGTTGTTTCAGGCTCACTGTACACTGAAGACGAAGCCATAAGAATCACCTTATCGTTGATATTGTTTAGTGTCATCCATAAGGTCCAGACTACCAGAAGCAACAGGCAAATGAGGACAAGAGGAATACACTTCCTCAAGGTACGAATCGCCAATGAAGATAATCGTTTTAAGCCTCTAAACAACGTCTCCGCACACCCTGTAAGTTCCATCGAAGTGCAATAACCCGCGTGCTCAGTTGATTACTATAAAGATGATTTCTCCTAGTCGCTACTCTGTTATTGAATCGAACTAATTCCAAAAGAAACTCTAAAATTTACTTGCTGATTACCCATCAGACCCTATTAACGGGTGATCCAATGGGTAAAAGCACCTAATGCTTTATTGACTGACCAGAGACCAGTGGTTTGTTTACCACGATTCTTTGATGTTGCATGTGATTGGTGAGTACATGAATGACATCTCAAGATATAAAATGTGTTCGCTAGAACTGCCCCTGCCGATCAGAAATTTGGAATTTCTGATATAAATTTTGTTCTTTTTCCTGTTGATATATCTCATCTCTGTCTGAAAACGAACTTCAGCGTTCCATAAGATGCAAACAAACAGGTTCTCGACCATGTGTCAAATACATTAATTTTTGACAAAGCTTAAGAGGACATGGCAAATGTGTTTACATAGAATATAATATTTTGAGTGACGTTTCTGAATGGCAGCAAGAACTTGAAAGGGGCTCAGAATTTCTTCTTTAGATTTCTCAACTTCCAATTTTATACCAGTCTTTGTCTCTTTTTAGTTAGTTATTGTGAGATACCTGACGTTGCTTGACTCCAACCGAAATCCCAGGCTACGGGCGTAGGCAACACCTCGCGCACTTTTTTTAACATTTCGCATAAATTTTTTTTGTTTATTTTTCTCCAAACCTTTGCAAGTGATATCCAGAATTAGATACAAGGTGAAAAATTAAGTAAAAAAATATGAAATTTTTTCAAGGAAAGAAGACTTTCAAGACAAAATTACACCACTTAAATTAAGTCACATTGTATATAGGAAAGAGAGGAGGGGGGTGCGTCTAGATAAACTGCTGTTGTGCCCCTAAAGTTCCGTCAATAATTTCAACTCTTGTCACAGATAGTCGTCGTCAAAGATGAAACATTTTTTAAAGCAGAATAAGCTAGTATGATCTGGGAGAAATGATTTTATCAACACCTTTGAAGCTGTTAAAAGACAGTAAATGTAAAACTATGTCTCTGATCGCGTTTTAAGACTGAAAAGGGAAGAGTAACCTAACCGTTTGAAAATAGTCTTGTAATGTGCTAAAAATTCGTCAAAGGATCGTGCGCCACTTCTTTTATCTCAGAAGCCGCACTTGAACCTCGCTCGTTGCGAACGTCACGAGGACAAGGACGTCACCATTGTTAATCATAACTGATCGAGTAACCTGGCCGCATGCGTATTACGTTTATAATTCGACTCAAATGTAAATAGCAGGAAGTAGAATACTACAGTCTTAGTAATCGGCTTTTCTATTTCAACTTTAAGCATGGACTTAGATTCTAATTGATAAGGTTCGAGAACAACCTGGTTGTTATCGGAGTCTGTTCTGTCAAAGACAAGGCGCAAAAATGGCGGCGCTCGCTGTCTAAAATTTTACTCATTTGAAGAAGTTACGGGTCGTTTCGTTCTGAGCTCGGTCGTTTCGTACTCAAATTAATAGTGTGTTTTCCATGTTAACAGTTGGAAAAAAATATCACACTAACAAGAGCTGTCATTTTAAAAATGTCACAAGTATGAATAGACTTTTCTTTTGAAAACATCACACTTACATTGCGCTAGGCGAGCATTCACTTGTTTTTGTTAAGTGTACACAAGAGAGTTTTTGCTTGTATCTTAATCGCTTGTCTCTGCTAACTTCTCGTGTGCGACGCTTAACATCTGTTCACGCGCTCGTGCGTGAGGTATTTCGAATAAATATACAAATCCGTCGGCAGTTTGGGCTCGAATCGATCAGCGGATTGGGTGCAAACCGATTTAATCTTGGGTACGAGCCGACTTAAACTTAGGTACGAACCGGCTGCATTTGGGTTTGAGACAACCAAGGGTACGAAACGACCGGATGCCTTTGAAGATCACTTCCTTTTTAACGTTCCCGCCAAATTCAGAGTCCTTTTCCCTGAAGCTTAAATAATTACATTCCAGCCAATTTGTTAATGCCACAATTCCACTCTCCTTCCGGTCACTGTGCGCGTCTCAAACATGTCAATACTTAACCCTTTAACCCCCAAGAATGACCAAGAAATAATTTCTCCCTATAATATCAAAACACTATCAGGCAGATCGGTAATGAAAATGACGAAAATCATTATATAAGTACCGAGATTTACGCGCCAAAAAGCATCGAGATGTAAATAGTCTCTTTGCACTAGAGAAGCCAGCTGATTGGTCGTCCAATTTTTTCCACCAGTGAAAAACGACGTATTGACGCTCTGATTGGCTATATCATTACTTATTTTCATAAGTAAACAAAACCGTGTTGCTCGCTCGCCGCTCCTCGTGACTGACAAATAGCACATTTCCATGTGCTAAGGCGCATTTTTCTTTAGAAAGATGACTTCAGATCAGACTAACCGTTTTCAGAGCCTTGATTCATCACTAGAAGAGTTAATAGACGGACAGGAAAATGAAAACATCAACAAAAAGACCAAACACGATGTTGCTCTGTTCCACGAATTTCTTGTTTTGAAAGGCGAGACGAGACAAATGGACGTTTTGACTCCTCAAGAGTTGAACAAGTTTCTCAGCGAGTTCTCTATAACGGTTCGTAGCACTATTTCGACATATTCTCAGGATGTCTCATTTTATTCTACCTAGTTCTGCCTTTTAAAGGCATTTAAATTTTTGCTTGATAATTTAAATGTAAAGCATTTTACAAGGAAGCCATTTCATTGCAACTCTTGAACTGTGAGGCGGCTTGACCGCGCGTTTTCTTTTGAAAGAAAATAAAGATGTTTATCTTTGAGCTCTGTTCGCTTATGATATGTATATAATAAATTAGGGTAAAACTTCCGTACATCCCCCTACTACATTATGCATTCAGTTCTAGGATAGAGAAAATAATGACAAAAAACATACATTTCCCCCGGGAAACAAACAAAGGCATGCTATGCATGCCAGAGTTATTTTTTGGGGGGTGGGTGGATTACTTAAAACATTGTAAGTGATGTCTAACTTCTTACAAAAGAAAAGAAGAGTATTAACGCGGAAAAGAACGAAAATGTCGAATTAACTCACACACAGGTATTTTGTGGTAGATTGGGTGTGTTGTGCGAATAACTGTAATAAAAAATAAACTGTATTGGTGCCACGGATACCTGTCAGTACAAAATGTAGACAGCAGACCGGATACAAAACGTAGACTAGGTACAAAATGTAGACTGCAGACTGGGTACAAAATGCAGACTGAGAATCTAAAGAGTTTTTCCGTCTGGCTTCTGATAATATATCATCTTACAACTTGCCTAGCGTAACGCAATCGCTTTACCGCGATCAGCTTTCACGAGTATTTGCACTATTGTGGAATATTCCTAGCCCATTTCTCGATGAAAATCGATCGTAATATAATTTCAAGCCTTCATATAGTTTTCTCACTTTGCGTGCGAGTTGGTTAATGTGATGTCTGTAAAGATTTTACCAACGTAATAAAAGTAGATGTAGATGTAAATGAGATGTCACTCTTTACTCCACACGCGCAATATTCAAGAAACAATGGACAGCTTTGCACGTGGTCCGTATTATCATCTTTTTAAGTGGTATTTGTTTCTTTTGTTGACAAAAACGCGGATCGAGACCAAAACTGTTCCTTCAACTTGATATACTTTCGACGTTAGTAGATCACATCATATTAACTTACCTCCGTAAATCATTCATTCCAGATAACAAAATCAAATAAACATGCTGGCGATGGTATCTGAAATCGTCCTTGGCCAAACACAAACGCCTCCACAAGATCACTTTCTACAGTCATCGAAAACATACACTAAATCGTCCATAGTTAATTTCAATCAGACATTCACCTGGAGATAGCACCAAGCAAACCAATCCAGAAAAATATAATCGGCACACTCAACAAATCATGAATCTTGCAACACAGCTTGCCGTTAAAGAACTGCTCGAATCAAAATGTTTGGTGCAATTCAGCAACACCTCAGGCAATGTTTGATTCACAATTTTTCCACACACTCTCGTCGTGAAGGAACAATAACGATGATCGTGTTACAGTGCACAAAACTCCACCATTTTCAAAGCATGAGTTACACGTTTACGCTAGGCAATCTGATATCTTTCATCTGTCCAGTAGTATCGCATTTCTCATAAAGCGCGATGAAATACACGTTAAAAACAAAGAAAAGCCAACATTTCTCATTCTAAAAGTTAATTCCATTTCACGAACCGCTCTCTCCGAATCCCCCGTTACTTTATTAAAATTTGAACACCTCTCAAACCAAAGAACGAAAACGACGCTCTGATCGGTGCGAGATACATACCCTAAACGATCTGATTGGTACGCTAACATAAATGTTATTTTTTTTAAAATTAAAAAAAAAAACACAAAAATTGTACGCGCTCACCAACCGTGAAATAAGTTATAAATATCCAATAAGGATATCGTCTGATATAAGCAAAATTCTAAAAAAAAAATTCATTCTGAGATCTTGGGAGGGAAACGGTTAAGTTCTGTGATAACTGCACGGAGTTCTGCTGCTTAAATTCTTAAACCCAATAACCTTGAGGAACTCGCGAGGTTGTCTACTTATCCCCGTAGGCGATAAAATAATGACTGCCGGTCTTTTCGCAATGGGTTAAAAAATTCAGCTGGATACCCGTTGGTTACTGATCGAGGACAGGAGCCCATCACTTGAAGACTAACATATTTGCTGCGTTGAGTTGAGCCTATTCTATATCAAACTAAACAACACCACGCTGAATTATTTCGAAAACTGTCGAAGCGTAATTTTAGATGGCCCAGTGATTGAGTTTACATCGGAGTACGGATTCCAAAGGTCTGTGGCTCTTTGTTCTCGCTCGTGACATTTAAGATGGAAAAGCATCTTCATACAATATAATTCTGTCTTTTAGTCAAATTCCCTGGTTTTCTAGCAAAGCTCTTCCAACTTTGTTGCGTGCCACAAAATGCAAATTAGACTAAAATTACATGTTAACAAGTCTGATTGCTACATTACAAATACGTCTAATGCGTCTTGATACGTGTAATTTATAACATAGCGCAAGTGCTTGCCCCATAAAAGTCCTATTGAGCCGCTATCAACAAAATCTTTATTTACGCACGCCCGTGCGTAAATAAGTTGAAGTGAGCATTTTTTTTTATCTAGCTTCAGAGTTTCCGTCCTGTTAAGCTGCAGTGCAGTTTTCCTTTTCTTTGAAATATGGAAGAAACCAGCGAAGAACTGGCCAATTTTTCTATCAGCATTGACCTTTTAGGTCCCGATCCAACACGCAACAAAAATAAAGCCGAAAAAAATGCAAGTTGCACGTTTCGCAAATTTGACGGAAGCTCAGCTGCGGCAAATTTTTCGTGCTCCAAACTTCCCGCGTGCATCCATGACTCGATATACGCACACTAAGCATGAACAAATTCTTATGTTTTTCCTTTTGTCATGACGAAACATTTCTTTTCAACTCAGAGATCGGAAGTGTTATTATCTGCCTTTGAACGTTTGAGGAAACCGAAGAGCACAGTTGGCCTATCTGTCGCCCTATTCATTTTGTTTCATCTTGCTTTTCCAGCCTATCATTCTGTGGTAAAGCATTATCACGCAGTCTCCTCGCGCTGGATGCTGCACCAAAGTAGTTTCTCTGTATTCACATTTGTTCTCGTACATGCGAAAGTGTTCATTATGAGTTACTTTAACTCCGGCTTTTGCTGCTAATATTCCGATGTACGCATCGTCGATTTTAAGAGGCCTCAAAACGTCAAAATACCACAAGAACTTTTCCACCACGTCGCGTGACAAAATATAACCTCCTCCGCTACAATATGGCTTATAAACAGTTTCATTGTATTCCTCGGGAGTAACACCATATCTTCCATTTCTCAAAACAGGACTGCCAACCATGATATTACCAGTGTATAATTTACTCATGGGCGTTGTATGTTTACTTAGAAAATTCACCAGACCGAGAGTATTTACAAATACATCGTCATCTGCTTTAAGAATGAAATAAAAATTGCAATATTTGACCGCCCATTCGAATCCCATCGCAACTTTGTAACTCATGTTCCAAAAGTGTTCTTGGTAATCGCTTTGTATGATGTCGCCGAATACTCTGGCCTCAGCCGTAGCGTTTTCCATTTCTCTCTCAATGTTGTTCTTTCCCATTAGAAAAACTGTTTTCCATTTGCTTTCGATTGAGTGATCAGCGCCCCAAGTTTTCCGTATTAACTGGCGCCTTTCAAAATTCCCGACATTCGACGATACCAAAATAAGGAGAATAATCGATTTTGGTGGGCAAGTGGCAGTAGTTCGTAATTTTGTGCGAAGAATTTGATGTTGTGAATAGAAGCCTTGGTCTAGGAAGTTAACAGCGTTCGTTTCAGGCTCGCTGAGAACAGAAGACGAAGCCAGTAGAGTCACCTTTCGGTTGATCTCGTTCAGTGTCATCCATAAACTCAAGACTATCAGAAGCAACAGACAAATAGGAACAAGTGGTAGACACTTTCTCAAGGTACGAATCGCTAATGACGGTAATCGTCGAAAGCTTCTTACCAACGTTACGGCGCGCCTTGCAAGTTCCATCTAACTGGTTGAGGCAAAAGTTGTTGCCAAAAGTAAACAGAGACAAATTTGTTTACGTAAACCAGAGGACAATGCCTTATCTTGTGTACTAGTAAGGAGCGATGGCGATCTATCGACCTCTTGAATCGCAATCAGCTCCTTTCAAACTTTCTTGCGTTGAATGACATTTGGAGCTGATTATTCAAATATCGATGGCATCAATACTAACTCCGCTTTACAGTTGATTACTGTCAAGTCAATTCTTCAGTTGAAGAGTCGAACTGATTCAAAATATGCCTCAAAGTCTTGTTTTCCGATTTAAGAAAGTTAGAAAATGCTTATCATCCATTGCTCTGTTATCGAACTAATGACCTCTTGTTTCACTCTTCTCTTTGAATCTTCTCAATCTTCTCTCTACAGTCCTGCGCGTTTGATTGACGGGTATTTACACAACATAACAAAACCTATCTATGGTATTACTGCTATTTCCTCCTGTACCGCATATATTTGAGGCTTGACCGGGCGATTGACACGCTAAAAGGAAGAAACAAAACTTTGGTAAGAACAAAAACGTTGGATAAAAGCCCAAAATTTCTCCGTGTTTACTCAGATATGCACTGGATTCACTGCCTGTGTGCGTCTATAAATCAGCCTTGCTTAAGTTCTGCCGGTTGATGTGCGGTGTAAACGCACCAGTGACATCCAGTAATATTTTTCATCTGGGGAATCAATTAGATATCGTACGATAACTTCACAGACTAGTGAGACTAGTGTCAACATCTTGCCATGATCGCCTTGGATACCAAAACAGGGCTTTCTTCATTAATTGGTCTTAATTAATACTCTTATGGCAATGGTACATTTCTTAATTGTACATTATGAGCGAAGTTAAAGGGAAAGACCAACTAAAGTCTTTTTTATTGCTATATAATTTCAGGAGCCCATTAGGCTCCTGACAATTTTAATCACCTATCTAAACCTTCGCAACCTTGTACCGTGAGAAGTCTGGGTAGGAGAGTACTCTGCAAGTAGCAGACTCGGCAATTGAGAATATTAGCTAATTTAATAATATCAACTGAGTTGATAACTTAAATTGCTCACCATAAGAGTTTAAAAGCTGACGTTTCGTGCATTAGCCCTTCGTCAAAGCGATGGGATTCGCCTTTATGCGCCAGAGGTTTCGGCCTGTTCACGCAACAGGATATCGGTCAGCTTAGGAAAGGGCTTGAACTTTATTACAAATGATGTATTTACGTTATTGAAATGCGATGGGAACTACAATCTTTAGGATTTTCATACGATAAGAAAGCGAAAATGTAGTCGTGTGGAAAGACAAGGAGTATGAGTACATCTCAAGCACGTGAAATAAACAATAATAAGGAGCTCACCATTCTTCGCTTGCGAAATGTCAGCCGAAAATAATGTGGAACGATCGTGTACGGTGTGGGAACAGGCCCCTTAATCAGCATTCTTTTTAGGTGAATTAATATAAGGTTATCTTCCCCTGATTTGACTAGTGGTTTGCGTTCGTAACAGCCGTCTTCGAAGCCGGAACGGGGCATAACGCCGGGTTGTACTAAAATATGAACGCTGGAATGCCGGAACGCTGGAATACTAAAACCCGGAACACAAAATTACCAAAAACCCGGAACGCATGAAAAACAAATAAATTTAAAAATAACAAATATAAATAAAAAAACTCGAAACTCGGATGTTAGGATCCCAAGAAAATGTTCTACCCGATTACCAACACTAGGCGTTGGATTCTTGCGTTTGACCGCTGACTGTGCTCGCCGGCTTATTTTACTGTGGAAAAGTTGATCATTATGCAATACGCAATACGGTCTTCGTGTCAAAGATCAACTGCACGCCACATAATCATAACTGACCCACATTCACTGATATCATCAAATAAAACGTATAGTGGTCGTAGTGGTGAATAGGGTAAAACTCTAACACAGCAGTATTCGAAGAATCGATGAGACACTGAATCGAAACATTCCAAAACTCAAGTGCTTACCTCTTTTTTTCCTAGCTTTTAAGACTGCTGCTTAACACAAAACAAAGATTTCTTAGCTGATATTTAATACTTTGTATATCTTAAACGTAATAAACGAAAAGAAACGAGTCTTAAATACAGAAAGTAACAACACTTACCTCGGAGAAGCGTCCATTTTCCAAACACGGTACCACTACATGTGACTTTGATGAATACATTATCATAATTATTCTTTGCCACCCGGGAACAAAGGATCAACACAAAATATTAGATGGTTTCTTAAAACACATTATCATCATCAGTTAAAGATAAATATCACTGCAAAACGTTCGAAACAATCATAGATAATCAGGTTTTTTGTTTTGGCAGGCGGGGTTGTGGGTGAGTGAGGATACTGAGGGAATTTTCCTTTTTGAATTGAAGTATGTTATGTGTTTTAGAAATACAGGTTTTAATTTATTAATTCATTCACTTATTTATTTTATTTATTTTTGGCTAAAATGCGTTCCGAGTATTAGTAATTTTGTGTTCCGGGTTTCAGTATTACGGCGTTCCGGCATTCCAGCGTTCTATATTTTAGTACAACCCATAAGGCCGACGATATTGAAGATTAAAATCTTCTCGGTGTCGACGATCGAAACGCGTCCATTTTGGCTATAAAACTTCATCTTTTGGAAAGTAGTATATAGAAATAACTGGTATACGTGTATGATTCTTGTAGCTAACATCATTTGGCGCTCCGGCCACGCAATACGTCCATCATTTTTTCTCGATCTCTCAACACGATCATTTTGACCGCACGTTTTAATGGAACACTCTTTGGCCGCCAAATCGTACTTTTAATGCCCGATAAAAGGTCAAGGAGAACTCACCAGGAGCTCAAGGTCGATTATTTCTAATTTTGAATACAGCTTTCAGTCGGAAAATTTTAACATGGGAAAAAAAAAAGACACGGGAAATAGCAGAAAATGGGGAAGTCAGAAAAAGACCGACAACAACGGACCCTGTTAACTGACTTCCGACGTGGAAATTGATTTTTCGATAGGGGATATACCCTGACAGAATTTTGAACGGTATGTTACCCTATATCTATGAAGTCTTTCGGGCCTCAGGGTTTTTAACGTTTCAGGGTCTTTAGGTCTCTAGTTCCCCGGGTCTTGGGGTCGCTTTAGGTCTTTAAGTCTTGAGTATGGCATAAAATACCGTTCAAAATTCAAGTTGTATAATATAGCCGTGTTTCGGCCCCCCGTTCTTTTCTGTTTTTGTATCCTTTTTCTAAAGAGCAAATGACACAAGATTGCATTACTGCTATGATCAAAGCAACATTGGGTGGTTATACAAACCTTTTCTGCATGATTAAATACATTTGATGATTAACAAAATCAATGACGTGACCGAACAGCTTGTAGAGCTGATAAAGCGTTTCGCAACGTCAAACTTTTTGGAGGGGATCAAAACATTATTGTCCACAAACTAGACCAGGAAGAGAGACACAGAGACCGAGAGACCCAGAAACCACTAGAAGACCTCTAAAACCATAGACACAGAGACCCAAAGACCCGGAGATTTGGAGACCCAAAGACTCAGGTACCAAGAGACTTTAAGACCCACAGACCTAAAAACCTTAAGGCCTTAGGAACTACAGACCTAAAGATCCAAAGGCCCAGAGAACCAGACCTGTCGACCCTGAGAGACCCTGAGGTGTGACGATAAGTTTTCGCTCGCTCTAAACTGAACTTTCGCGGGAACGTACAAACGGGGGAAAATAGCTCGGTAGAGACCACTCGGCTTGCGAGAACGGAAACTTGTCACGATTTCCTGGCACACGGCGATCTACTTCGTGTGAGCTTGTACGGACGTCAAGGAGGAGACAGCGTTTTGGTTCCACAGTATACTTTTATTCGCAGAGCCCTCTAACACACAACATGCTAGAGTCAAAACTAAAACTGTAATCACCAAAACTGTACAAGGTACTTGCTTAAGAACTAACTGGTGTGAGGTGCTATTGTTACACAGATCGCAATATTTGAATAAGGACACAAAGGAGCGGAAAAGGTCTCTTCGAAGATAAACGAAAATTACTCAGATATTCCATCTGTTTTCTACGACGAAAATAATCTCAAAATTAAAAAGACGGATACAATAAACTCGAGGCCGAGAAAATAGGAAACTTAGGTGCGAATTCACAGCTTTGGTATAGAAAATAATACCTATTTTAATTGCAGCAGAGCAGCTTAGGAAATAAAAACGGAAAAGCAATTAAAAGTTTCTGCTTATCTATGCCAAGGTTGGTGTGGAAACTATCGTATGAAAAGAAATTAAAGTTACGAGTATAAACTCAGCTGTTAACTACCATGAAAACCATTTTTTCCAGAAAGACCATTAACACTTAAATTTACCTGAAAAAAACCATGTAATAAATAACAAAAGTGCTGACAAGTAGGTGCATATGATGAAGCGAGTAACACTGAAAAATCTATTCCAAAAGCTACTGTGGTTTTTATACATTTTATTTAACTTACTAGAAAGAAAACCTCAATAAACCCAATATTTTAAATGCGAAAGTACACGAATACATATGAAGATATTTGCCCCAAAAACCATGAAAACCCTAAATATAATATTTTATGAAATACATTATCAATTCAATTGCTCTGGTTATAATTTTACATTAATAGCAACAATTTGAAAAGAAAAACTCGTTCATCATCCTTTCCCGCATAACCGGTCGAGTGAAAGTAATAGAACACAGGAACTAGGTCGAAACCGGAAAAATAGACTTGAACTGCGCGGCCATAAAATACTAAAAATTTGTCCAAACTAAAACACATAATTTTTCCCCCTAACAGAGGCCTGAAAAACCCCAAGACTCCATAGACCTACAGATCTTTTTTAATAACGATACAATTGGTGACATCGCTGGTGCATTTTACACTGCACGTGAGCCGTTCTGCTACCCAGTTGCAGTAGCCCTCGCGAAGATGTCTCCTTAACTTTTCACCATTAAAAAGAGCAAATTCTTGTAATGTCCATTGATTTCAGAGTAATATCAAAATACGATGTGATCTTCTGTTGAAGAGTATTACTGATTTCGATATCACAGCGACTGTATAACATTTTTGCATTTCGATATTGTAAGCTTTTTAGCTTTGCCTAAACGTTTTATGACAAGCTAAAATTGTGCTTAAACGTACAGGATTCGTCACGGATCCGCGACGATTTCCACTCCAGTTGTGTAATCCTAGCGTAAACATCTTATTCTAAAATGCTCGGTTTCTAAATTTCAACATAAATTCGATAATGGCAAATAAACCGCCGTGGCGAATTTTGGGAAACTCTGTAAACGTTTTTTTGTAAACAGGAATTCGATAAAGGCAAATAAAGCGCTGTGGCGAATTTTGGGAAACTCTGTAAACGTTTTTTTGTAAACATGAATTCGATAGTGGCAAATTAACCACCGTGGCGAATTTTGGGAAACTCTGTGAACGTTTTTTTGTAAACATGAATTCTTTAATGGCAAATAAACCGCCGTGGC